TTCTCTCCTCCTCCTCATTCTCTCCTCCTCTCCATTCTCTCCTCCTCCTCATTCTCTCCTCCTCCTCCTCCTCCTCCTCCTCCTCTTCCTCCGCTGACGACTGCGCAGCTGCCACGTCAGCATGCACAATTTATTATTTTTTTTCCCGCTTCGTCTTCCTCCTTTCTCATCCTTTCTCCTCCTGTTCGTCCTCCTCCTCCCAGTCTTCTTCTCCCTCCTCCTCCTCCGCCATATCCACGTCCTCCTCTTCTTCTTCCTCCTCCTCATTCTCTCCTCCTCCTCCTCCTCCTCCTCATTCTCTCCTCCTCCTCCTCCTCATTCTCTCCTACTCCTCCTCCCCCTCCATCTTTCTCGTCCTCCTCTTCCTCCTCCTCCTCCTCCACCTCGGCATCTTGTTCTTCCCCGTACTCTTTTTTCTTCTTCTTAGTCCTCCTTCTCGTCCTTTCTTCTTCCCCCCCCTCCTCCCCTTCTTCCCCCCCCTCCTGCCTTGCCCTATCTGCGTCATGTTCCTCCCCTTCGTCATGTTCCTCCCCCCCTCCTCCACCTCGGCATCTTGTTCCTCCCCTTCGTCCTCCTCCCCTCCCTTTCTTCTTCCCCCCCCTCCTCCTCTTCTTGTCCCCCGTTTCGCTGACGTGGCATGTCGTCGTCTTCTTGTTCTGTCGTTCTGCTGGAGCAGAACTGGAATGTCGTCTTCCCGGCACGTGGCAAGCAGCACCGGGGAGTGTAGCTGAACAGTCGGCATCCTTCCGCATCGCACCTGCCTCGTCAACAGCTACCACATCAGGACTGGCCATCGCAGCATTTGCCACATCATCATCCGGTCGAGGTTTGCTGCTTCCACGCCGGCAGCGTTATGGCCAGCAACAATGCTGATGGGGCAGGGAGAGCGGATGTGGGGCGGGACCCCTTCCGGGAGGACCTTAACCACTGGCGGGATCACGTGGTGTGGACGTGGGTGACTGCCGGTCAGTTGCTGCCAGGGAACTCTTGTGGATCAAGGAGGCTGCGCTGCAAGTTGTGCAACAAGGAATTCACAGGGACACAGAAACGAGCGATGGAGCACTTTTGTTTGAAGAGGGTCTCCGCCCAGTGTCCAAATGCAACGATGGCGATTTGGAGGAGGTTGCACAGGGTTGGTTTTGAGATGCCGCCAGATCTTATGGAGAGGGTGCAGCGTGCAATAGAAGAGACTGCTAGCGATGACGATGATGGTCCTGTGCTGGAGGACGACGCGGTGGGGCGAGGGGGAGGGGTTACGATGGATGGGGAGGCAGGGGAGGTGGTTCATGGGGAGGCTGGCAGCGGAGTGGATGAGGTGACAAGAGGGGTTGTGGCCGATGGAGAGACTCCGGTCCGGAGACCTGCATTGTCGCAGACGGGGGGCGGCTAGACAGACGAGCATCGTCAGGTACGCGAAGAACCCCAGACAGGCGGACATCGATGATACCTGCTGCGAGTTCTTCGTCGGGAACGCCATCCCGTTCAACGCCGCGAAAAGCAAGAGCTTCAAGAAGTTCYAGCTGGCGTGTTATGGGCCGCAACCTGCGGCGAGCTGCCCTCTTGTGCCCACTGGGTACAACCCACTACGWTGCAGGCTGCTTGATCRGTTGCGCGGGAGGTTGGAGGCTGAGGAGAAGGCRSTCYGGGACGACTGGGAGGTGACAGGCTGCACGTTCATAACCGATGGCACCACAGACATCTGTGGGCGATCGCTTATGAACTACATCCTCGCCGGGCGGTCGAAACCCGTTTTCATCAAATGCGAGGATGTGAGCGAGGGGGAGAAGGATGCAGCTGCCGTCGTCGCTGGGTGGAAGAGGTTCTTCAGGGAGTGGGGAGTAGAGAAGGTGACTGCGATCTGCACAGACTCCTTCGCAGGGGACAAGAGCACTGCCCGGATGTTGAGGGAGGATCCTGAATTCGCGCAAATCTACTGGATCCCTTGCATGGCACACTGCATGGACCTGCTCATGCACGACATCTGCAAGAAGGAGTGGTCGGCGACCATCATCGAGAAGGCCAACAAGGTGGTCACCTTCTTCAGAGTGCACAGGTGGCCACGACCGCAGCTGAGGACGCAGTTGTTGCAGTACCCTGACCTTAAATGCACTTGCCTACTTCGCCCAGCTCAGACGAGGTTTGGGACAAACTACGTGATGCTGCAACGACTGGAGGTCTGTGCCAGGGCCATCATACGCATCGTGAATGGACTCGCCTGGGAGAGGATGGTGTGGAGGGGGGATATCAGGGGGAAGGCGTTATTTGTGGAGGAGACTGTTCTTGACAGGGCCTTCTGGGCTGATATCAAGAAGCTGACCACCCTCATGAAGGGCCCTTATGAAGTCCTACGAGAGGTGGACAAGGATGTCCACTGCTTGTCTCGGATCTACGACTTGGCCCGTCAATTGCCTGTCTTCGTCCGTTCGCCCCCCCTCGGTGACAAGGAGCGAGATGATGTCCTGGTGGACGTGAAGAATAGGACAGATATGCTGCTCAGCCCGATCCACGCCGTGGCCCGGTTGCTGGATCTGGTGTTGAGGGACATTGCTGTTTTCAGCAATGTCGAGCTCATGACGCAGTTTGAGGCTGTTGTGGAGCGCCTCATCGGCAAGAGAGGGAGAAAGACGTTTGACGACTGCTTGGACCAACTGTATGAGTTCCAGATGGCGAGAGGAGTGTTCGGCACCACACGGGCGGTGCAGAGGGCGAAGAAGGACAATGCGGTGCTGTGGTGGGAGGCGCACGGGGCTGGCCATCCAGAGATCAAGGCTCTGGCGGTGAAGGTGCTCTCCATTTGGACGACATCCTCTCCAGCAGAGAGGAATTGGAGCACTTGGTCCATTGTGCAGACAAAGTCCACGAACAAGCTGCACCACCAGCGCACCGAGAAGTTGGTGTACTCGCACTGGAGCCTCAGGCTCAAGAGCAGGGGCGACGACAGCCCAACGGTGGTAGGAGGATGGTTGGGGCTAGCAGCAGACTGGGCTGACGATGATTTGGAGGGTGATCAGGCGGGTTTGACTGACGCTGTCGACGACGGTGAGCTCGGTCATGAGGCTGCTCCATCCGGTGCAGGTAGCACCACCATTCGCCATGATCCTGCTGCGGCCGGGACATCAGCAGGCGTGTCGAGGCGAGGAGAGGTGGAGGAGGGTATGGAGTGGGGTGACATGGAGGAGGAGGAGGACGATGACGATGTGGACAGCGAGGACGAGATTCCACATAACGAGTGGGTGGACAATCGGTCAGACTCTGACAGATCGTGGACGAGGAGGGAGGAAATCACACCATATGTTCCGGGCACACGACATGCATTGAGGCCCCAGAGTCAGCGGCAGCAGATGCAGCAACATGAGGAGCAGCCTGTGGAGCACCATGAGCAGGCTGTTGTGGAGCAGTAGCAGCAGCAGGCTGACGAGTAGCAGCAGCAACAGTAGGCTGCCGAGGCTGAAGAGGAGCAGCAGGCTGACGAGGAGCAGCAGGTTGACGAGGAGCAGCAGCAGGCTGACAAGGAGCAGCAGCAGCAGTAGGCTGACGAGGAGCAGCAACTTGAAATAGGGGAGCAGCAGCAGCAGGCTGACGATCAGCAGGGGGAGGAGGCACTGGGGCACAGGGAGCAAGATGGGCGAGGCAGAGGGAGGTCAGTGCCGCCCAGAGGTGCGGGCATTTTATGGTGCCAGTCTCCCGCCGAACCTGCTCGGTAGTGGGCAAGCACATCCCGGACGTGTATGGGATCCGCTCGGCTATCGTGCTCCGCGAGGCAGAGGGTGCCTTCCTTCCACAGGAGGCCGAGGTCGCGCTCGTGCCGCACGAGGGACAGGTCGCCCGAGAGGGCGGCCACGGAAGGACAAGCAGCCAATGCCTGATCCTGCAGCCTCCACCTCTGATGAGAACTCCCATGAGAGTGCCCCCCTGCACAAAACGAAAAAGAGGAGGATAGCGCCCGATGAAGGCAGAGAGAGAGAGAGAGAGAGAGAGAGAGAGAGAGAGAGAGAGAGAGAGAGAGAGAGAGACTTTTTGTTGTTTCTTTTCCATTCATGCACGGTGCCTGCTCCTCGTAATCAGCCATGTCACGTTGACGTTGTCTTTTGTTGTCAGTCGGTTCGTGTGGTCGTGCCATTAAGTGTATTCGTATGAATGTCGGTGTGTGTGTGTGTGTCTGTGTGTGTCATCTTGTCATGTGTGTGTGTGTTATCTTGTCATGTGTGTGTGTGTGTCATCTTGTCATGCGCGCGCGCGCGTGTGTGTGTGTGTGTGTGGGTGTGTGTGTGTGTGTGTGTGTGCTTCACCTGTATTGCAGACAATGAAGCATGCTCGAGATGAGCCAATCCACCAATGAGACAGTTTTGCTTGTGTGTGTGTGTGTGTGTGT